CTCTCAGCGATGGGCTGCGGCACGGCCACGCTGGTGCGAGGAGGGCACAGGTCCAGGCTGCTGCGAGGAGGGCACAGCTCGTAGCAGGACATGTTGGCGTGAGAGACGAGATGAGGCTGAAAGGCAATGGGGACAAGCAGCGGTTACAAGCAGGGCAGACAAGGGCAGCTCCCGCAGCAGCAGCGCCCCGTTCCCTGAGCGGCCAAAGCCCCCCAGCCTTGCCCAGCCTGCCCGGCCCTGGCCCCGTGCCCTGCAGCCCCCTGAGAGCCGCGATGATGGGCAGAGGCAGAGAGCTGCCAAAAATCCCTGCCCGAGCCAGTCCCTGTGCCCAGCCCGGCTCTGTCCCAAGGGGTCGGGGCAGGACATCTTGACGGGGTAAAGGTTGGCTTTAAACAGATGTAGATATAAAAACTATCAAGAGCATCAAGCTGATGGCAGAATTTTCCCCAAGGATTGGAATCGCTGCGTTGTGTTTTATGTTCAGCCTTGAGCGGCATGGTGAACACACACTGAGTGCCTTGATCAAAAAATTCCTGCCTCTGTAAAACCCTCCCCAGCATGGCCCGACCCCATACACTGATCTTTGTTCTGGCCCCACATGGTTGTGTCTTTCAGCTTTTGGAAATGCCAGCCTTGAAGAAAAATATAAAAACCTCAGTCCGGTCTCCAATAAACTTCCCCAAATTGGGGATAGAGCCCTGAATTAGATGTGGCTTTCCGTGGAACTGGAAGGTTTGTTAAGACTCTGAGAATGCCACTGAACTCACCTGAAAAGGGTCTCAATTCTAGTCTTGAATTTTATAAAATACTGAAATAATCACCTGAAATAACTGTTTTAATCTGTGGCTTTTAAAAGCTGCTAATTGGCTTGGAACACTCAAATTTCTCAGAATTTCTGTGCTCACACCCAGACTCCCAAATCCCACATTTCCCACTGGTTCCACTAAGAGCAATTCCAGACAGAAACGATGTGAAGCTGTTCTAAATCTCAGCCTTCCTAAAGGAATCTTCTACAACTTCTTTGCTACAGGCTCTGATTAAATAAATAGAAAGAAATGAAAAATTCATACTCACTAAGCTCTGCAAGGCGAATGAGCTTGAGAAGTGTCTGGATGGACCCAGGCACTGGAGCTTATATAGAGGATCCCGACATTCCTGAGGGTTTGGAATCTTGCTTGGGATGGGGGTTCTGCCTCCAAGAAATTGTTTACCAGCTTTGAGTCACAAAAGTTTGGAGTTTGCGGCAGTTCTGATTCCATTCACATTCTCCTATCGTGTGATGTCGGAGTTTCACCATCCTGATTTCTTTAATCTTGGGTCTTAATTGGCGCTGGCAGCTCCTGGCATCATTAGAGTGACCTCACTGGAATTACCACGTTCATTAAGCTGACTCCACATGTTACTTCTTCCTTTACAACCTTGTCATGAGCTTGTCTGCTCCAAGATTTTGTAAGACTCATCTTTGGCTGACATGGACATTTTTTTCCTTAACAGCCCGTTTAAAATTATCTGATAAATTAATTAGAAGCAGAAACCAGCTTATTCCAGGACTACCCAGGAATAAACGTATTTTCCAGCCATAATTAAAGAGAACTTGCTGGTCTGAGATGTATTTAAGGGGTCATGAATATCTGCTGAGATCATCCAGGACACTCAGCAATTCCATAATAGTTTTCCATTGAGAGGGAGTTTTGAAATCAATCCCACATTTTTTAGCTAAAATAACTTTCAGTGGGAAATGAAATTCAGTTTTAAAAGGGTCGGTGGTGCTGAATGTTCCCCTATTAAGTCTTATGATTCCAATTCTGAGGAAAAATCAGAGAGGCAGATCAAGGTTTTTCTTTAATGTTGTGGGTGTAATCTGTTATCAGGAGTGTTCTGGCCCTTCTTGAGAAAAATACTTTGCAATGATTTCACAAACAGTCATTACATGGTGTTCAACTCAGCTAATATTCGGTGTTGTATGACATGGGTGATTTAGACATTTCACTCTTACACAACCCCAACTGCTTTAATGTGCAGGAAACAAGGTGGTGCCTGCCATTACTTTAATTAAATCATGATTTGTGCCATTGGAAGTCAAGGGTTAATAATTAATGCAGCTCTTGTTTTTATTTCTTAAAAAAAAAAATTCCTTTCCATATCCGTGATTGAATCCTCTGTGAGGTTAAGATTCAACCTTTGCTCTATTTGTCCTATTTCAAACTATATTTTCCATAAAAAATAAATATTTGCGATTATTTACCCTTTTTCTGTGATTTTTCAGAGCACAACTTTTAGGTTTTCACCTGTAGCCAGCGCATTTTACAGACCCTTCTTGTCATTCCTGGAGAAATCCCCACCAGAGATGAAATGTCTGCTCTTAATTCCTATACTGTGGTTGTTGTGGTCGAGATTCACCCCAATATTTTGATTTTCTCCGCAGGTGATAAATATTTGGGTTTAGGTTTGTGTTTTGCTTGCTGCCCCAACAAATTTCCCTGTATTTGCTGCAGGGAAAAGGAAAAAAAAAACGATTCTGCAAGCACAGAAAAGGATTGAGTGGTTCCCACATCTCCCAGCCTGGGGGGGATTCCTTTGCCTTGATTTATATTTTACATAAATCTGACAGTCAGAGCAAGTTGTGCCTCATCCCTGGCTCAGGGCACAAACTCCTTTCAAATCCGTTTCTCCTGGGCTGCATCAAAACCCCGTGGGCAGCAGGGGAGGGGGGATTCAGCCCCGCTCAGGTGAGACCCCACCTGCAGAGCTGCCCCAGCCCTGGATCCCGGCCCCGGGAGGAGCTGGAGCTGCTGGAGAGAGCCCAGAGGAGGCTCCAGGAGGATCCGAGGGATGGAGGAAAGGCTGGGAGAATTGGGATTGCTCCTTTTGGAGAAGGGGGAGCTCTGAGGTGACCTCACTGTGGCCTGGCAGGACCTGAAGGGGCCACAAGGAAGGCGGGGAGAGACAATTCCCAAGGGATGGAGTGCCAGGGCACGGGGAATGGGCTCAGACTGTCAGGGAGGGGGTTTAGATGGGATTTTGGAGATAAATTCTTCCCTGTGAGGGTAGGGAGGCCCTGGCACTGTAATTCCACGGCTGCCCCGTCCCTGGAAGTGTCCAAGGACAGGTTGGATAGGGCTTGGAGCAGCCTGGGGTAGTGGAAGGGCTGGGTGTGGAACGAGATGATTTTAAGATCCAACCCAAACCATTCCATGATTCTGTGATCGCCTCTCCACTTTGTATTAAAAACACCGCGATTTCAGCCCTCTCCGAACTACAACATTTATTTTGAGGGGGTTCCAGTGAGGAAAGCCTCTCACTATTAACAGATTTTTCTCGAGCCTCAGAGGAACAAGGGCTGTGAGAGCACTTGGGAAGCGCCGAGTAATGACCTCTGCTCGCCGTATCTTTGTTTTGCTGCGCCTCGCATGTCCCAGGGCTGAGTAAGAGCGCCCAGAGGAAGCAGGGAGGAGCTGCCAGGCACCTCTGCCCTGATCAGATCGCTCGTAGCCGCTGGGTTTGGCCAGACCGGGCCCTGCCCTGCTCTTACTTTCCCTTTTGTGTCATCCAGGGCAGCCTCTCAGCGACTGCGGCACTCCCAGCCCTTTCCAGCGCCTCTCCAGAGATTTAAACAAACAGAAATGGTCAAATTTGACACTATGTAACAAGCGGGTAGGACTTCAACTGAATGCTCATCACCATTTAAGACAACAAGAGATGAAAGCGACACAAAAATTCGATGCATAATAGATTTATTGCAGAAAAAAATGTGAATAAATCACACAGAGAGTACAAAGAAAAGCATGGGAAAACAAGAACGACATAGAGAACAGAACAACTGAAGCCAAAATATTTAACACATCCAGTACTGAACAAACAGAGGTAAATAAATGGAAATATAACATGAGGTTGATATAAACGACATAAAAAATAAGGATCAAAGACAAGGAAAGAACAATGAAATTTTTAAACAAAATACATTAATAAAAGAGAACATAAAGAATTAGATGTTCAAACTGGACATAAAGCAAAATAATAACCAACTGAAAAGAAAAGGTTTAAAGAAAACACTAATGGCGACAATAATGGGATGAAAAACTTGGGGATTTCTCCATTGCTGACACATCAAAAAGCCTCTCTGGCGGCTCTAGCAGGGCCCGCAGGTGTCCCAGAGCTTCTTGCTGTAGCGGGGCAAGGCGCAAGGGCTGCAGGCGGGAGCAGCGTAGGCTCTGCCAAAGGTGCACAGGCCCCCCGAGGCCTGGGTGGCGCCGGCGCCGTAGAGGCCGCCCAGCCCCAGGGAGCCGCCAAAGGCCGGGGCTCCGGAGGAGCCCACCACGGCTTGCTGGGGGAAGGAGCTGAGGATGGGGCCGGGGAAGGTGACCACCACGGGCGGCGGCTGGATCAAGGCCGACGAGTCGGGGCACTGGCGGGCGCACAGCTCGTTGCAGCTCTCAGCGATGGGCTGTGGCACGGCCAGGCTGCTGCGAGGAGGGCACAGGTCGTAGCAGGACATGTTGGCCTGGGATCCGAGCGAGCTCTGCAAGAGAGGGCAGCCGTGGCGGGAGGGAGAGCGGCACAGGCAGCGCCCGAGCCCCAGGGGCCGCCGGGCTGGAGCCGGGAGCCGCGGGCACAAGCGCTCGCACACTTACCCTTGTCCCCGAGGAGGAGAAGGTGGCCAGGGCAGTGCTTGGCCCCGGCTGGCCCAGGCACGGCTTTTATAGCAGCCGGGCCATTGCTCAGCTCCAGCCGGGCCAATCTGCACAGGGGACACTCCCTGCTCCTGCTCCTCCTCCTCCTCTTCCTCCTCTTCCTCCTGCTGCTGCTGACACCAGGGCTGTGCCCCCCTGCCCCTCCCTGAGTCAGCATCCCCCGGCTGCCAGCCCAGCAGCTCCCGCTGCCCAAGCCATCCTGTCCTTCCTGCCGCCTCACAGCCTTGAGAGCGCTGATGGCACCCAGGAATTTGGCTCCAGGGGCTCACGGGAGGGCTCGGAGGGGCTCTGGCCGGGGCTGAGAGAGCCCTAGAGTGTGCTGCGCTTGCCGGCCCTTTGTGATCCTTGTCCCAGGGCGGAGCTCAGGGCTCAGTGGCACGAGGGCTCTTTGTCGCCTGTGTCGCAGAGGTGGCGGGCAGCGGGCGGGGGCAGCCGGAGGCCAGCTGTGCTGCACTGTCGGGTGCTGCAGGGTGCTGAGCAGGCAGGGCCCCAGCGGAGCTGCCTTTCCTCGGGCCTTGGCTGGGCTGTGGCCGGTGGCCCTGAGGGCCAGCGGGTGGGCCAGGGCAGGCGCTGCGTGCCTGGGGCTGCAGCAGCGTGGCAGCGGGCTAATTGCAGGCGCTGATGGTGCAGCTCGGGGCCGGGCAGGAAAGGCAGGAGTCAGCAGAAGAGCCCCGCGGCAGCAGGGCCGAGCCCGCCTTGGCCCCGCAGGCGCGGCCCCAGCGTGGGCAGCCGGGGG